GCCCGCCTCCTCAAGCCCGCCTCCTCAGCCCGCCTCCTCAGCCCGCCTCCTCAGCCCGCCTCCTCCTCAGCCCGCCTCCAGCCCGCCTCCTCAGCCGCCTCCACGCCCCCCTCCTCAGCCCGCCTCCACAGCGCGCCTCCTCAGCCCGCCTCTCAGCCCTGCCTCCTCAAGCCCGCCTCCAGCTCGCCTCACAGCCCGCCTCCTCAGCCCGCCTACGCCCCCTCCTCAGCCGCCTCCTCAGCCCGCCTCCTCAGCCCGCCTCCACAGCCCGCCTCTTCAGCCCGCCACCTCAGCCAGCTTCCTCAGCCGCGCTCTCCTCAGCCCGCCCCCAGCCCGCTCCGCAGCTCCGCCTCCTCAGCCCGCCTCCTCAGCCCGCCTCCAGCAGCCCGCCTCCTCAGCCCGCCTCCAGCCCGCCGCCTCCCTCAGCCCACCTCTGGCAGCCCGCCTCCTCAGCCCGCCTCCACAGCTCGCGCCTGCTCCTCGGCCCGCCTCCTCAGCCCGCCCCCTCACCGCCTCCTCAGCCCGCCTCCTCAGCCCGCCTTCCTCAGCCCGCCTCCTCAGCCCGCCGTCAGCCCGCCTCCTCAGCACCGCCTCCACAAGCCCGCCTCCTCAGCCCGCCTCCACAGCCCGCCTCCTCAGCCCGGCCTCCTCAGCCCGCCTCCCTCAGCCCCTCCTCCATAGCCCGCCTCCGCAGCCCGCCTCGCAGCCCGCCTCCGCAGCCCGCCTCCGCAGCCCCGCCTCCCAGCCCGCCTCCGCAGCCCGCTCTCCTCAGCCCGCCTCCTCAGCCCGCCTCCTCAGCTCGCCCCTCAGCTCGCCTCCCAGCCCGCCTCACAGCCCGCCTCCTCAGTTCCGCCCTCCCACAGCCCGCCTCCACAGCCGCCTCCACAGCCCGCCTCCTCAGCCACGCAGCCCGCCTCCGCAGCCCGCCTCCTCAGCCCGCTCCAGCCGCCTCCCTCAGCGCTCCGCAGCCGCCGCCTCAGCACCGCCTCCTCAGCCGCCTCCACAGCCCGCCTCCTCAGCCCGCCTCCACAGCCGCCCGCCTCCTCAGCCGCCTCCTCAGCCCGCCTCCGCCTCAGCACTCCTCAGCCCCTCCTCAGCCCGCCTCCTCAAGCCCGCCTCCTCAGCCCGCCTCCACACCCGCCCTCCAGCCCGCCTCCACAGCCCGCCTCCTCAGCCCGCCTCCTCAGCCGCCTCCTCCAGCCCGCCTCTTCAGCCCGCCTCCTCAGCCCGCCTCCTCCAGCCCGCCTCCGCCAAGCCCGCCTCCCCAGCCCGCCTCCATCAGCCTCGCCTCCTCAGCCCGCCTACTCAGCCGCCTCTCAGCCCCGCCTCCTCAGGCCTCGCCCCTGCACGCTCAGACCCGAGCCTCTGCAGCCACAGCCGCCGCTTCCTCCAGTCCGCCTCCACCAGCCCGCCTCCACAGCCCGCTCTATCAGCCGCCTCCACACCCCCTCTTCAGCCCAGCCTCCCAGCCCGCCTCCTCACCCCCGCCGCCATCAGCCCCGCCTCCTCAGCCCGCTCCTGCAGCCCACTCCCGCCGCACCTCAGCCACGCCTCCACAGCCCTCTCTCCTCAGCCCGCCTCCACAGCACCCAGCATACTTAACACCTAACAGCAACCGACATCTCATCAGTACTACGCCTCCATCGAGATCCGCCCACATCAGACTACCCGCCTTAACCTATCATTGCACCGTATACCTAATCCTCAGCCTCCCCCTCTCAGTGGTGGCGTCGCGCCTCTCTTCAGGCCCGACACCACACAAACTCAACAGAACAAACGGAAAGACAACCGCCTCCACCCGACCACGCCACAACCTCAAACATTAGCCACCAGCAATCCTCAGTACGGCCGCGACAATGCCCCAAGTCCTCCGTCCTCCAGCACGCTCCATGCTTGCGCACAGTCCCGCCTTCATCCGCTCGAGGCATGATCGTGCACACACAGCCGCGGCTCTTCGGCATACTTCACACTGTTTCCTTTGGCCTTCCCTTGTCCACGAGTCCCCTGCTCTTCACCAATCGCTGCCCTGCACCCATAACACTCACACCAATGACCATCTTCAGCGAAACCATATACTCGACCTCCTCAGATACCAGCCCATAATCACGCCAATCCTCAGTACTTCGCGTAGCCTGCTAACGGACATTCCACCCATCCACATAACCATCAGCCCACTATGCCTCACCATCATAATACCACATCAAATCCACTAGCCCAGCCTATCTTCAGCTCAGCTGAGCACAATCCACATAATATAATAAGTCAGCACTATATTTTCACTCACCAAGATATAACATACCACAGTACCTCCACATCAGCCCCGCCTCCTCAAGACAACCACCTCCTCAGCCCGGCACAAATCCTCAGCCCAGCCTCCCACAGTAAACACCGCCTGCCTCAAATAACATCCGAGCCATGCACCACAAGCCCGCACATCCGTACAGACTCCGACCTCCGACAGCCCCGCCTACCTCAGATAGACCCGAACCTTTCAACTCACCGCCTCTTCAGCGCCGCCTGCCTCACAGAAACCCAGCTATTATCCTCAAGATAAACCGCCCATACCTCAACGCCGCACTACACCCACCACGACCACACCGCCTATCCGAACAGAAGCCCCCTGAGTCGTCTCTCTCCAGCTCGAGCTCTTATCAATAACCCAATAAGCCTACCCAGAAATACTACCGCCAGTCCACAAGCCCCCGCCTCCTCCAGTCTAGCGCAGCATCCATACAGCGCCTAAAGCCTCCTCAGCCCGCCTTTACTCAGCTCCACGCTACCTCAGCTCACGCAATCCCTCAGCCCGAGACAACTCTAGACAGACCCGCAACTTCCAACAGCTACCGCCTCACTCTCACACAGAACCTAGCCGCCAAATATAAATAAAAATACAGACCCGCCAATCACAGAACTCACGTACCTCACTCATGATCATCAGACTCCACAAGCGCGCGAGCCACCTCAGACCCGCCACTCTACATCAGTTACCCACTTAATACACCGTAGCATCAAGCTCCTCAGCATCACGCATATCCCATCAGAACACCGCCTTCCTACACCCACACCCTCCATCAGCACGCCTCTTTGCATAGCCAACGCCTCCACAGCGAATACCGACTCATCAGCCCGACGCACATCAGCCCAGCCTTCCAACACTATACCGCCATCTTCTAACATGAACTAAGTCGCCTCTCACATAGACCCTTTAGCTACTAACATCAGCCCACCCTCCTCAGCCCGCCTCCTCAACATCACGCCTATCCATCAGCACACGCCAATCGCACAAGCCCCGGCACCCTCTCCAGAGCCCATCCTCAAGAAACCAGACTTCTCTATTCATCAAGAGCCACCTCAATACACGAACAACCAAGCTCTTCACATACAAAACACAGCCACCTGAGCAGATACCCCAGCGGCACTCTAGCGAGCCCGCCACTACGACAAGTTTCACCAAAACCAATACAAAACCCCCATCCTCCCCGCTCATCAGGCGGCCCGCCTCCTCAGACCCGCCTCCTTCACCGCAATCTAGACCAAACCGACTAACCAGCCCCCTTCCACCTAGTCCTGTACCTACTCCTCATGCCCACCGTCCAGCCCCCCCCTCCCTCCCAGTCTCCGCCTCCTCAGCCCAGCCGTATCCTCAGCCCGCCCTCCCATCAAGCCCGCCTCCTCAGCCCGCCTCTCAGCCCGCCTCCTCAGCCCGCCTCCCCTGCCTCCCCCTCCATCCGCCCTCCTCAGCCCGCCTCACAGCCCCGCCTCTTCAGCCCGCCTCCTCAGCCCGCGCCTCAACAGCCCGCCTCCTCAGCCCGCCCCTCAGCCCGCCTCCTCAGCCCTCGCCCTCAGCCCGCCTCCTCAGCCCGCCTCCTCAGCAGCCCCCCTCAGCCCGCCTCGCCCCCCGCCTCCTCAGCACAGCCCGCCTCATCAGCCCACCTCCTCAGCCCGCCTCCACAGCCCGCCTCCTCAGCCGCCGCCTCCTCTAGCCCGCCTCTCAGCCGCCTCCTCAGCCCGCCTCATCAGCCCGCCTCCACAGCCCCGCCTCCACAGCCCGCCTCATCAGCCAGCCTCCTCAGCCCGCCTCCACAGCCGCCTCCTCAGCCCGCCTCTTCAGCCCTTCTTCAGCCCGCCTCTTCAGCCCGCCTCCTCAGCCCGCCCCACAGCCCACCTCCTCAGCCCGCCTCCACAGCCCGCCTCCCTCAGCCCGCCTCCTCCCCTCCAGCCCCGCCCGCCTCATCAGCCCGCCTCCACAGCCCGCCTCCACAGCCCGCCTCATCAGCCAGCCTCGCCCGCCTCATCAGCCCGCCCCACAGCCCGCCTCCAGCCAGCCTCAGCCGCCTCCAGCCCGCCTCCTCAGCCCGCCTCATCAGCCCGCCTCCACAGCCCGCCTCATCAGCCAGCCTCCTCAGCCCGCTCCTCAGCCTCCTCAGCCCGCCTCTTCAGCCCGCCCGCCACAGCCCGCCTCATCAGCCAGCCTCCTCAGCCCCCTCCACAGCCCGCTCATCAGCCAGCCTCCTCAGCCCCGCTCTTCAAGCCCGCCTCCTCCACAGCCCCCTCCACAGCCCGCTCATCAGCCCGCCTCCTCAGCCCGCCTCTTCAGCCCGCCTCCACAGCCCGCCTCCTCAGCCTCACAGCCCGCCTCCACAGCCCGCCTCCACAAGCCCGCCTCCACAGCCAGCCTCCTCAGCCCGCCTCTTCAGCCCGCCTCCACAGCCCGCCTCCACCAGCCCTCCACAGCCCCGCCTCATCAGCCCGCCTCCTCCAGCCCGCCCGCCTCCACAGCCCGCCTTCCTCAGCCCGCCTTTCAGCCACAGCCCGCCTCATCAGCCTCCACAGCCCGCCTCATCAGCCAGCCTCCTCAGCGCCGCCCTTCCACAGCCCGCCTCCACAGCCCGCCTCCACAGCCGCCTCCACAGCCCGCCTCATCAGCTCCGCCTCATCAGCCCGCCTCCATCAGCCCGCCTCTTCAGCCCTAAGCCCGCCTCCCAGCCGCCTCCTCAGCCGCCTCTCAGCCAGCCCCCTCAGCCCGCCTCCACAGCCCGCCTCCTCAGCCCGCCTCAGCTCTCCTCCAGCCCGCCTCTTCAGCCCGCCCTCAAGCCGCCCCCCCACAGCCTCACAGCGCCTCCTGCATCAGCCCGCCTCTTCAGCCCGCCTCTCAGCTTCAGCCCGCCTCCTCAGCCCGCCTCTTCAGCCCCGCCTCCTCAGCCCGCCCTCCACAGCCCGCCTCCTCAGCCCGCCTCTTCAGCCCGCCTCCTCAGCTCGCTCCAGCCCGCCTCATCAGCCCCATCAGCCCGCCTCATCAGCCACCCCCTCATCAGCCCGCCTCTTCAGCCCGCCTCCTCAGCCCGCCCTCCTCTGCCCGCCTCCACAGCCCGCCTCCTCAGCCCGCCTCAGGCCCGCCTCCTCAGCTCGCCTCCACAGCCCGCCTCATCAGCCGCCTCATCAGCCCGCCTTGCCTCCTCAGCCGCCTCTTCAGCCCGCCTCCTCAGCCCGCCTCCACAGCCCCGCCTCCTCAGCCCGCCTCCACAGCCCGCTTCAGCCCGCCTCCACAGCCCGCCTCCTCAGCCCGCCTCCACAGCCCGCCTCCTCAGCCCGCCTCCTCAGCCCCCTCCGCAGCCCGCCTCCTCAGCCCAGCTTCGCCTCCACAGCCTCCAGCCTTCCTCAGCCCGCCTCCTCAGCCCACGCCTCCTCAGCCCCGCCTCACAGCCCGCCTCCACAGCCCACCTCCTCACCCGCCTCCAGCCTCCTCAGCCCGCCCTCCTCAGCCCGCCTCCTCAGCCCGCCTCCCAGCCCGCCTCCTCCAAGCCCGCCTCCTCAACAGCCCCTCCAGCCCGCCTCCTCAGCCCGCCTCTCAGCAGCCCGCCTCCCGCCTCCCTCAGCCCCGCCTCCTCAGCCCGCCTCCGCAGCCCGCCTCCTCAGCCCGCCTCCTCAGCCCGCCTCCTCAGCCCGCCTCTTCTAAGGCTCTGCTCCTATTTCTCTCTCTTTTTTTTTTTTTTTTTTTTTTTTTTTGACTTCTTCGTTTTTTCGTTTTCTTCCTCTTCGATTGATTTGCGTTTTTTTCGTGACTTTTTTTTCGTCTTTTCTTGATTTCTGTGATTTGGCTAGTGGTAATTTTTGTTTATTCATTTATTTTTTGGGTTATCACTTTCGCTTCCATCTCTCCATTCGTAATAATCATTTTTTTCTCTCTCTCTCGCAGCCACTTAAGAAAAACTTCTCCAAATGACACCGAACTCCTGATGTACCATACAATATATGTATATAGTATATTTATGTATAAATATATAGATATATATAATATATACATATATATATCTATCTATATCTATATATATATATATAATATATATAATTATCATAATATATATTATATATATATATAAAATAATATATATTATATAAAATATATAAATAATATATATGTATATATATATATATAATATATATATATATTATGATAGAGAGAGAGAAAGAGAGAAGGAGATAAGGAGAGAGAGAGAGAGAAGGAGATAGAGAGAGAGAGAGAGAGAGGAGAGAGAAAGAGAGAGAGAGAGAGAGAGAGAGAGAGAGAGAGAGAGGAGAAGAGAGAGAAGAGAGAGATGGGACCCGAAACACATTAGTAAATATATATATATATGAATGATATATATATATAATAACTACACACATATACAATGTACTAACATAACATATACACTACATACATAATAGACTATACATATACTATATATAATATTATACAGCATATTAAATACATCTATGCATGTACAACAGCGAAAGAACGCCAGGTGAAATTATTAATATAAGTAGATAACTGTATCACAAGGAGAGTATGAACGCATAGAGAAGAGGAGAGAGCAAGAGAGAGAGAAAGAGAGAGAGAGAGAGATCGAGACGAGAAGAGGGGAGGAGGGCAAGGAGGAGGCAGGGAGGGAGGGAGCGAGGGAGCGAAGGGAGGGAAGGAGGGAGGGAGGAAGAAGAGGGAGGAGGGAGTAGGAGGGGAAGGTAGAGGGAAGGGAGGAGAGGAAGGATGGGGAAGGAGGGGGAGGCAGGGACAGGGAAGGATAAGAGAGGAGGGATAGGGAGGAGGGGAGGGGAGGGATCAAGGGAGGGAGGAGAGGGAGGAGAATAAGGATCGGAGAGATGGGAGGGGGAAGAGATGGGAGGAGGTCGAGGAGGGAAGGAGTGAGGAGGAACAAAGGATAGAAGTGAAAGGAGTGCCAAAAAGCTTCATGCATCGGCAGATTGGCGGACAGCAGAGACGACTCAGTAACCATCGGGAAGTCAACGCATGCCGCCGCCCAGATCCCTCGGAAACCAAACCCGATCCAGACATAGGCGGGAGGAACGCGCGACGGCGCACGACTCTTTCGGGAGGCGAGGGGCGCAAGGAAGGGAGGTCCGAGGTGAGAGGGTCACGTGGAGGGACAGCTCGATGGGCAAGGTCAAGTCTCGAATCTCGGAAGGGGGTCAGAAAGGCTCAAAACTTCATATACTCCTTAGCTTCGAATTGAAATCATACCTTCAACTTATGAAATGAAGATGACCGAGTATTCAAAATGAGGCTTCCTGGTATTGCGACCTGATTGTCAATATCAAACGGGCAGCTGTATCCCGCTGGCCCGTGTCATATTCTCTTCATCGATCTCTCTTGAATATACTCTTCGGATTCTTTGATCCACCCATTATAGTTAGTAATCATATTTGGTTAGTTGTGATTATCGCATCTACGCTTAACTCGATCGGTATCAAGTAATTTTTGGATCTCTTCTTGTTTGAGTTTTCTTATTTCTAGTTTTCTTTTTTTCTCTTTTATTTAATAATATTTAATTTTTTATTTATATTTAATATCTTATCTATATAGTATATATACTTCTCTTTTCTTTAGTTATCTTTTCTTATATGTTTTATTTCTTCTTTAGCTTGGAATTGAAAATACAACTTTCCATTATCAATCTTTCACTTTTTTCTATTCTTTTTTCTTTTCTTCTTTAACTTATGAAATATGTGCTAAATTCATTCTTTCCGACAGCTGCAAGGATTTTTTTCTAAGACACAAACAAATCCGTCACACTCTATAAGGCATAGGTCATTTTAACACAATCTCCTGTGTTTCTTTCTTCTTTACATATATATTACTACTTGAGGCATAACTTAATCAAGTTCTCTTCTCTCGGATCTTTATGTCCTATTCCGATTTAATCTCTACTCATCATTCAGGAATTCGGTTCGTCTCTTTCTCTCTCTGCTACTTCTTTCTCAATCTTTTTGTTACTTGTGTCTTAAAATCGAGCATTGCCCTCAATATTCTATTTGCTTTCTAATTCCACGTCAATTTTTGCAATTCATGATCATTAACATTATTTATCATTTTCATCGCATCTTTCCTCTCTCTCTTATATATTTATATATGTATATAATATATATATATATATATCATATCAAATACTAAATAATACTAATAAGTATATACTCTATATATATTATAATACTAACTATAATGTAATATAAAGATTATTATTATATCTACTAGTAATAGATAGATCTACTTATACTTACATCCTATCACACTTCTACATATATTTAACCCATAAATTATCATTATATACAAATATATTTTATTGGAAAGACCATTGGGAGAGTTTTTAAAGTGGCTGCGAGAGGGAGAGAAAAAAAATAAATGATATAAATGGGAAGATGGAAGCGAAACGGATGACCAAAAAATATATAATAACAAAACTACCACTAGCAAATTCACAGAACATTCATAGATAAGACGCAATAAAAGTCACGAAAAACTCAAATCCAATTCGAAGAGTGAAGAAAACGAAAAACCGAAAGAAGTCAATAAAACGTGCTACGCCAGGGTTGAGACGTGGCTGAGGCGGGTCTTATTCCATTTACCGGCGTTGCTCTTACATCCGACTCGCGCGCGTCTGTCCTTTTCACGCCCACCCGGCCTCCGTGCGGCATTCCTCGGGGTGTCCCTATGTCCCCCTGTCCGTGCATGCCTCTCAGGACTTGTCGTCAACGGGCACGCCCCGTGCCTGTCGCCCCTGCGTACACTTAAAGAGTGCGACTCTGGCCCGCGCCTCTTTAAAAACTTGGATAGTGGTTTGTGACGCATGTGGCTAATTTCAGTTGAGTGGAGTACCCGTAAAAAAAAAATAAAGAAGAAATAAATGGATAACCAATGGAAAAATAAAAACATTAATAAAATAAAAAAAAACAATAGAATAGCGTAAAAATAAACAAAGAAATAAGAAATAAAATAAGATAGATCGTTGAAAAAAATAATCGTGTTTTATTCATTTTTTTTTTTTTTTACTTCAGATATCTTTTTGTATCTTGTCGTTTTGGAACATTGGGTTATAACGAGGTGTTGTAACAGTGACTGGGCAAGGCGTGTCGTGGGCGTGATGGGGCTGGAATCTTGTAACGGTCTCATTGTCATCTCGTGTTTTTTTTCTTTTCTTTTCTTTTCTTTTCTTTTCTTTTCTTTTAAGGGGATTATCAATTGTCTGATTTGAATACGATAACGAAAGAAGAGAAAGAGGAGAGACGAGAGAGAGAGAAGAGAGAGAGAGAGAGAGAGAGAGAGAGAGAGAGAGAGAGAGAGAGAGAGAGAGAGAGAGAGAGAGAGAGAGAGAGAGAGAAGAGTCAAAAGAACGGGAAAGAATGAGAGGACAGAAGGCATGCAATAGATAGTGATTGATAAACAGGAAAGTAACGGAAAGTAAGCAACTTCAGCAAGCAAACAGGAAAAAACAGAAGCTAAGAACAAAGATCACAACAAAACAACATCAAACAACAAAAACACGAAATCAAATAGAAAAAAATCCATATCTCAAAAAAAAGAAAAAGCAATCCTATTAAAAAAAAACACACACACTTATCAAAACAAAGAAGAAAAGGAACTAAAAAATGCAATAAAAAGATACACATAATGAAATCGCAAAATTCTTAAAGCCAGAATTTGCTAAAGTTCTATTTCTCAAAAACAAAACAAAAAACAAAAAAAAAAATCACAAAATCCTCAAAACCATAATTTGCCAATGAACCCAATTTCTAAAAAAAATAAATAAATAAATAATAACAAATAAAATAAAAACAACATACGTACATAAAATAAAACACACACATACATAAAATAAACACACACATACATAAAATAAAACACAACTACACACACATACATAAATAAAACACACACATACATAAAATAAAACACACACATACATAAAATAAAACACACATACATAAATAAAACACACACATACATAAAATAAAACACACACATACATAAAATAAAACACACACATACATAAAATAAAACTCACACATACATAAAATAAAACACACCCATACATAAAATAAAATCGCAAAATCTTTAATACCAGAATGTGCTAACCTCACGGGATGGCGACGACGCGCGTGTCATTTTGGCGGGAAATGATTTGCCAAAAAAACATATTTACCGTCGATCCCTTCATTCCCTATTGTCTCAACGCGTGTAAATGGCTTGGAACAATAGCTCGTGATCGTACAGGAAATTCGACTAATCAAAGCAATGGCGCCTAAAGGAAAGAAGTTAAAAAAAAAAATGAAATTAAAGAGCCGTATAAATTCAACTCGAGTCGGAAGTGGCTTGACCTTTAAGGCCTACGTAACTACCTCTTTTGCTTGTTTTGTTGTTTGTCTTCTCCTCTCTCTTTGTTTTTCTCTTCGTTCTCATCTGCGTTCTTGCTGTTTGTTCTTTTTTCTCCCTTCTTTCTTCGTTTTCTATACCTCTTTTTTTCTTTTTCGTCTTCTCTCTCTCCTTTTTTTACTTTCCATTTCTTCTCTCTTCTTTCTTCCATCTCTTCCTTCTCTCTTCCATCGCTTTCCATTATTTTTTCTTCTCCTTTCCCCCTGTTCTTCCTTTCCACCTTTCCCCCTTTCCTTCTCCCCTTTTTCCCCTTTCCCCTTGCTCCTTTTCCAACCCAGTTCGATTCCCCATCCCCTCTCTTCCCTACTTCCCCCCTCCCTCCCTACTCCTCTCCTTCCTCTCCCTACTCTCCTCCTTCTCCCTCCCATACACTCCTCTTTCCCTCCCCTTACTCCCCCTTCCTCCCTACATTTCCCTCCCTCCCTCCCCTATTCTTCTCCCCTCCCCTACTCCCCCCCATCCTCCCCTACTTCCCCTTCCCTAGATGACGTGACTTACAGTGTCTTTGTGTGCTGTAAAGTGCGAGATTTCGCGACCTGCCATTTCCTTAAGTGAGAAAATAAAATATGATAAGGCATTAAACGTATCATAACACATTAAAGCACCTGGTAGTTAAGTCGTAAGAAGGCGCGGGAGATCGGTAAGGTCGAGGTAGAGAGCGCGGGCATATTCTATTTGTTTCTCCCATTCTTCTTCGTTTTATTATTTACCTTTAGTTTACGGAGAAAAGGAGGTTGAATATATTTTCTTTATTTTCTTCTTGATTTTTTTCTTTTATATATTATTCGTTACTTACGAGATCCGATAAACTATGAACATTTTTACCCCAGCACACTCTTGTCCATTTTTCCAAAACTCATTCGAAGTTACGAGACAACCAGACGTCCTTAAGAAAAAAAAATACTTAGACGTAATTTCCACCTTTGTACTGCGACGGAAAATGGTAATGAGTGTGAACTTTTTGATTCCCAGAACTTAATTATTCTGCTCGTAGCGATTAAAACTAACGATGTGAATAACTGATAGAATTATAATTATTTTTTTTTTTCTCTATTGCTTAATTTTATTTTTTGTTGGAGGAGGGAGGAGGACCCGGAGACAAAAAAATCCTTTGAATATTATAAAATAAAATGTAAAACTTTCTCTTATTTTTTATAACTTTTCATTATGTGGGTATTACTGAAGACAAATTAGACCGGATGGCAACATAGCGGCCTCTCCATTGAGGACAGAGATGGAGAAACCCGGAGAATGGGAGTAGGATGGTGAAAGACCGAGGATTGTATAGAGAGGACAGAGATAATGAAATTCAAGTGTTGTGGAGTGAGGAGAGAGACTGTAAAGATTTAGGGCCGTATATACTGTATATGCACATATATATGTGTATATACATATGTGTGTGTGTTTATATTCGTGTGTGTATGTGGAAAGAGAAAAGGAGAGAGGGGGGGGAGAGGGAGGGAGAGAGAGAGAGAGAGAGAGAGAGAGAGAGAGAGAGAGAGAGAGAGAGAGAAGAGAGAGAGAGAGAGGGAGGGAGGGAGGGAGGGAGGGAGGGAGGGAGAGGGAGAGAGAGAGAGAGAGAGAGAGAGAGAGAGAGAGAGAGAAGAGAGAGAGAGAGAGAGAGAGAAGAGGGAGGGAGGGAGGGAGGAGAGAGAGAGAGAGAGAGAGAGAGAGAGAGAGAGAGAGAGAGAGAGAGAGAGAGAGAGAGAGAGAGAGAGTATAAACAGAAACTTTACAGACACAAATAAACCAACAGAAGATGACCAAACGGACAAAAAAATAGACAGACAAACAG